ATGCGTTCTCCTTGGATATTTCTGTGCTCAAATTGTTATTTTTTATTGCATCAGTCCTATTGGATTAGGGACGACCCTAATAACCTAATTACAATTGCAGTGATCCAAATAAGGTTGCATTCTGAGGAGCTGGGAGCTGGGACTTCAACATATGAATTGGGGGTAGAGAAAAGACACAATCACCCTGTAATAAGAAGCTTTAGAGAAAATCTGAAGCAGGAAAGCTGAGGGTTTTTCATAGCGTGAGCTCAAAGTGGGACCCAGGCGCCATGCACAGAACCACCCACAGCTGTGCTGAAAGCAGGCGGGCCGAGGCACCCGCTAACCTTCTATTAAGGAGGCAATTTCTTTGGAGATGCTTTATTCCCACACCACTTCTCTGACCTGGACTGAGCTTTCTCTAATGTGCTGCCCCGCAGGGGAATTGGAAAAACTGACAGGGTTAATGTGGGTCTCCGTAATACTGCCAGATACATAGGCTAGCCAGCAGGTGTGTGATTGAAAACATCTTCGATGGGATTAAACATCTTCAGTATATTTCAAAAACCAACTAGCTGCTGTGACGGTCAGTAGGGATAATATGTTATTAGAAACACTACCTTGCCGACAAGTAAGTAGATGAAGACCTCCCATACCCAGTGAGCGAAGGCTAAAATTAAAATGCTTTGTAATGTATTGAGATTATGCTTCGTAGAATCTCTTGGGTGTAAATTATAGTAAAGTGAACTATCCTCATTCACCAAATAGGACTGTAGTGTTCGTATTGTATGCCAAGCACTGTTCTAGGTGCATCAGTGAAAAATGAAAAATCCTGTCCTCTTGAAACTTACATTCTAGAGGCAGCCTGTTACCCTCTGGCACATAATTATGATTATCATTTATATGATCATTTAAAACCCCATCAAGATCAATATTTCAGACAAGAAAGAGATTACAGCCAATAAAGTATTTTAGATGGAACATTTCAGAAATACTATTAGGTTGGCATTTCTTTGTTCTTTTCTAAGAGAGATTTTTGCTATAAGGCACATGAACTTTCTGGAGACACAGAGAGAGACAGAGGGAGAGAAAGTGAGACATCATCCCTCAGAGAAAATGACCTTGCCACAATCCCTTCTTCCCCATTCTCCTCTTGGGATTTTGTGCACATGCGCACACATGCCCAATGTGAGTTTTAAGCTCCTAGGTCCGAGACTTGATCCGCAGTTGGCCATGTAAGAGTCCAGGGCCTTAACCACTACACCACCTGCCAACACTAGTGGTATTTTAATGATAGGTCCATGAGTGGTTTTTATGATTATTTATTACTTTCTTATAGTTTCACATTTACTTTCATAGGCATATATTATTTTTATATTTTTAAAAAGCTAAAGAAAAAGGTGAAATCCAAGAAGCTCCTAATCTAGATGAGTTTTTACAAAAAGTACTCCTCCTAGTGAGTATTAACTTTGGAATTAGACACTTAGACTTCCTTGGATTTCAATCCTGTCCCCTTATTATCTATGCCCCCTAATGCAAGGTCATGTAACTTTTTTTAAAATTTGCTCTAGGGCAAGTACCCTTACCAAAGAGAGACAGAGACAGAAAGTTAAAAAGCACCCCCTAAGGGAGGATAGCCATGCCACAATCCCTTCTTCTTCATTCTCATGGGATTTTTAGCATGCACTTTTTTTTTTTTTCAATCTACTGGGTCCAGGACTTGAAATGTACCGTCAGCCATGGGGATCCAGACACCACCGGCTGGCTCTAATTTTTTAATTGTATAAATAATTTCATGGTAATCTATAAAAGTAGGGGTAATATGTCAAACTCAACCTCCAAGGATTGTTTAAAGATAAAATTCAACATACATAAGCAAGCCTGAAACAGGGGTCTATACATGGTGGGTGCTCAATATTTGCTGGACTGAATTGGGTAAGTCCCACTCAGATATGTTTGAACTGGGAAAGTCCCACTTAGATCAAGCCTAGCATTCTCATCCACTGCTAATGAGATTATAAAATGAGACTACTACTTGGGAAAAAATAGCTTGGTAGTTTCCTAAAAATATTAAGTATATGCTCAAAATGTTGTTCAGCTATTCTAGTCCTAGAGATTTGCCCAAGAAGAATGAATACTTATGTCCAGGTAGAGACTCATGCCCACTTCATCATAGCTGCTTTATTTATAATAGCACCAAACTATAGGAATCCAAATGCCTGTCAACAAGTGAATGAATAAACAATGATGGAACCATATAACAGAGGACTACCCAGCAATAAAAAGACAAGAACTATTAATGCATGCTAAAACATAAATAAATCTCAAAATAATTATGCTATGTGAAAAAGGTAGACACATATTAATACATACTATATGACTTTAGATATTAAAGACTGAAGAAAATTCCAACTAATCTAAAGTGAGAAAACAATTAATTGGTTTTGTGATGCTAGGGGGGATGAGGGATGGAAGGATTATAAAGTGTTGATTGGAAACTTTCGGGATGATAGATATGCCCAATATTTGGACTGAGGTAATGGTTTTCATGAGTGTGTCAACACTTAAGAAATTGTGCACTTTAGGGACTAGCAGATGATGTAATAGACTCCCTCTCATGTAGTTGACTGTGGTTCAAGTCCCAAACTTAGCAGCTTAAAACTCATGCTGGGCACATGTGCTTGCGTGCCCAAAATTTTGAGAGGAGAATGGAGGAAAAGGGATTGTGGCATAGCCATTCTCCCTGTGGAGTGATTTCTTGCTTTCTGTCTCTCTGTCTCTGCAGTGAGCACATGGACCCTATAGCTAAAAATCTATCAGAAAAAAAAAAATTGTGCACTTTAAATATGTGCAACTTACTATGTATTAATTTTACCTCAATAAAAAATATTTTGACTTCTTCTTTTTAAAAAAGGTCAATCCCAAAGCTTCCTTCCCAAAAGAAAGGTAAAAATCTATCACTTTTCTTGATCACTCTTAGACTCTCATAACAAGAACAGTGAATTAGGTGACCAGTTGACTGTGTGAATCCTGACAAGTACCTTTCTGTGACCTATGAGAATGGATTCACAGCAGGTGGAAGAGATTTAAATTTCTCGGTGCAGTCACTCTGAAGTTATTCCATTTTTAAGGAATGGTGTGGATTTCTATCCAGAGCCACAAGACAAAGCTATAAGGCAGTGGGCTACATTTCTTGTCTGTCAAGAACTGATGTAGCAAGCACAGAAATATAAAATGCCTCATCAAAAAATTAATGCCCCAATATTCCGGAGGCTCTTGTATCTGGGTGACAAATTTCAGATGATAAAGATGCAAATGTAAATTATGTGGGTTGATTTCTTATTTTTAAAGATAAAGCAATGATACTGATGTCACATTTAAATACATAGCAGTCAAAATAGAATCTCTGTTTCTTTTGTAGGAAAACCAAACTGACTTTGCCAGGATTAACAATGACAAATAATACAGCCCGGGAAGCGGCAAATGAATTTTAGGGCCAAACTAAAGAACTGGATTAAATGGATTAACACCTCAATACCCAGAATCAGAAAGAGGAAATTTGTTCTAAGAGACTAAAAGATGTGATTTTTGTTTCAGTCTTTTTATTTATTTATTTATTTATTTATTTAAAGAAAGAGTTATGTGCACTCGCTGGAGAGACAGAAAGTGTGCACTCGCTGGAGAGACAGAAAGTGAGAAATCATCCCCGCCTCCCCCCCCAGGGGGGATGGCCATGCTGCAATCCCTTCTCCAGTCTCCTCTTGGGATCTTGGACATACCTGCACACATGCCCAGTGTGAAGTCACCGGGTCTGGGACTTGAACCATGGTTGACTACATGGGACTCCAACAATAAAACCATTATGCTATCTGCTGGTCCCGATTTTTGTTTCAGTCTTAACTGGTGTTGGAATATGTACCTCAGTAGCCCTAAGATAGATGCAAGGATTCTGAGCTATTTTGCTAAATGCTGTTAGATATTTTAAAACGTAGAGATGTTGTACATTTGGGGGATACCATATCATTATTTAAAGTCGCTTTAGAATTTTTTTTTACTTTTAAAATGGCTGGAAAATTTTAAACATGATTCCTGTTTCTATGTCATGTTATTAAAGGTTACTGCTTTTCTAAGTCATTTTTGATTTGATATAGGATGATCGTATGAGCTCCAAAGTCATGCAGTAAGATTTTTTTACTTCCTGGCTGGCTCAAATAATATATGAGAAGCTAGAATCAGAGACCCGAGAGTTGAAAGGAACCTTGAAGAACATCCTGTGAAATTATAGAGGCCAGGGTTGGCTCACCAATCACAGAAACAAGAGTCTGTGTAGCCAAGCCCGATAACTCTAGTTTCCAAAAGCTAAACTGTCACCGAATATTAAAAATTTAGACAGGTTTTCAGAAAAGTCTATGAGACTAGAGAAATGCAAAACTTAAGAGAAAGAGAAGTTTAGAGAATAAGGCAATGCTGCACCTTTCACAGATTTTACCTGCATACATAAACCCCAAGAGGACAAAGATCAATAATTATTGAACACCTACTTTTGGCTTGGTGTGTAGTAGAGGTAAGGAAGGAAAGAAAGAAAGAACCCTTGGAAAACTTTACCACAAGATCTTTATGAGAAAAATATAAATGTTATAATAAACACAAAAGGGGGATCAGCAGATGGCATAATGGTTGTGTTGCTGGACTTGTACATAGTTGACCATGGTTCGAGTCCCAGACCCTGTGGCTTAAACTCATGCCAGGCGCGTGTGCGTGTGTGCCCAAGATCCCAGGAGAAGAATAAAAGAGAATGGATTGTGTCATGGGCATCCCCTCCAAGGATTGATTTCTCACTGTCTATCTCTCTGTCTCTCTCTGTCTCTCCAGCAAGTGCACACACCCCTATAGCAAAAATCTCAAAAAAAAAAAAAAATACAAAGGGCTCTATCTGGTGAAAGTATGACATTTCCCCAGCCTTAGAGGTAGGGCTGTTATTTTAACATCGTTTCTCTGTTTTTCTCATCCCCTTTTGCTAGGTATCCAAATTAGTTCCTTTACTCAAGCTGACCTGACCTCAAGAAACATTCAGTATATCCATTCGAGTGAGACTGAGAAACATTCAGATGCCTTCACCTTTGTGCTGTCTGACGGAGGTCATGAGGTGGGTGAGGACCTAGATTCCATCTTGAATAGGTATTGATTCCTTGCCATCTTCTTCGAGTGGAGTGGGCAGAGCGGCTGGTAAGATGAGAGCTTCATTTTCCTCTGCTCTCAGCCAAGGGATGGGGCAGCCTCTGGCAGCCACCTCAGCTCTTACGCAAGAGCACTCACTTTTGGCCTCCTGGTTAGTTAGCTGTGTCTGGAATGGTGTGAGGAAAAGTAGAGGCCACCTCTTTTCTGCTTATTGAGGAGGTGCTAGGGACAGGTGTCTTACCCGCACTTTCCTGCCATCTCAGGTGACTCAGACTTTCCACATAACCCTTCGCCCTGTGGATGACTCTCTGCCCATTGTGAAGAACCTTGGCATGCGGGTACAGGAGGGCGTAAGGAAGACCATCACAGAATTTGAGCTCAAGGCAGTGGATGCAGACACAGAGGTAAGAGCATGCCCCTGGATTTTCTGCCAAACGAGAGGCTGGTCTGGTGGCAGTCATTGCCTTGTCACTATACTTCCTGAGGGTGGCCTGGAGTATGAGGTGAGTGAAAGCACATTCAAACGATGAAAAAAGACAGTGGTCAAGCTGGCCCTGTGACCTGGTGCTTAACAGAGCCTGATTCCCACATGGGCAACCACAGCTCAAATCCCGGCTCCAGTGATTTGAAAAACATGTTGGATATGTGTGTGTGCATGCCCCAAATCCTAACAGGATACAGAAATGAAAGAGAAAGGATTGCAGTGTGTCTATGCTCCATAAGGATTTATGTTACGATGCCTATGGAATTTTATATGTAAGAGTTTTGGAAGAGTAAAAGAAAATGGGTGAGAAGGAAATTAATAGTTTAAAAGATATATTTCCTATCATCTTGGTAGTGGTTACAAATCCAAACTTTCACCAATGAGCTATTGTGAAGCAGTTTAAATATTTAAGTCTTACAATTGAAGGTTCCAGAATACAAGTCCAATTGTAGAAAACAATATGATTTCTCTCTTTTTCTTCATTTTTGATTTTTATAAAGAGAACATAATACTTATGTTATAAATGTCTTTAGGTTCCAGTAACATTGACCAGCTGTTGGCCATCACTCATTCATATGGTTGCTGGACTGAACTTCCCTTCCTCTCTTGCTTTTTGCCTCCTGGACAGGCCGAGTCTGTCACGTTCACCATTGTTCAGCCCCCACGCCATGGCACCATCGAGCGAACCGCCAATGGGCAGCATTTCCGCCTCACCTCTACCTTCACCATGGAAGACATCTACCAGAACCAGATCAGCTACAGCCATGATGGCAGCAACTCCATCAAAGACCGGTTCACCTTCACGGTTTCTGATGGGACAAACCCGTTCTTTATTGTTGAGGAAGGAGGGAAAGA